CATATTTAAGGGGAAAAACTCCAGATTTTAGAGGGAAGAAAGGGATTTCTAGGTGAAATAAGCCATATTTAAGGGGAAAAAATAACAGATTTTAGGAGAGAAACAGGGATTTCTGTTAGAAAACCCCCAATTTAATGGAAAAACAGGGATTTCTGGGAGAAAAAGCCATATTTAAGTTGAAAACAGGGGTTTCTCAGAGAAAACACTGGATTTAAGGGGAAAAACAGGGATATCTGGGAGAAAAGGCCATATTTAAGGGAAAAAAAACCCCAGATTGAAGGGGAAAAACAGGGATTTCTGGGAGAAATTGCCATATTTAAGGGGCAAAACCTTAGATTTAAGGGGAAAACAGGGATATCCTGCTGAAAAAGCCATATTTAAGGAAAAAAAAAAACAGATTTTAGGAGAGAAACAGGGATTTCTGGTAGAAAACCCCCGATTTAATGGAAAAACAAGGATTTCTAGCAGAAAAAGCCATGTTTCAGAGGAAAACCCCAGATTTAATGGGAAAAATAGGGATTTCAAGGAGAAAAAGCCATATTTAATGAGAAGAGAAATCCAAATTTAATGGAAAATCAGGGATTTCTAGGAAAAAAAAAAAGCCATTTTTAAGGGGAAACCCCCAGATATAAGAGGAAAAACAGGGATTTCTGGGAGAAAACCCCAGATTTACTGGAAAAACAGGGATATCTAGCAGAAAAAGCCATATTTGAGGGGCAAAACCCCAGATTTAATGGAAAAACAGGGATTTCTAGCAGAAAATACCATATTTGAGGGGAAAAACCCTGTTTCTAAGGGGACAAACAGGGATATCTGGGAGAAAAAGCCATATTTAAGTTGAAAACAGGGATTTCTGTGAGAAAACACTGGATTTAAGGGGAAAAACAAAAATTTTTAGCAGAAAAAACCACATGCAAGGGGAAATACCCCAGATTTAAGAGGAAAAACAGGAATTTCTGGCAGAAAAAGCCGTATTGAAGGAGAAAAACCCCATATTTCAGAGGAAAAACACCAGATTTAAGGGGAAAACAGGTATTTCTGGGAGAAAATACCATATTTAAGGGGCAAAAACTTAGATTTAAGGGGAAAACAGGGATTTGTAGCAGAAAAAGCCATACTTACGGGGAAAACGGAGTCAAATCCAGCTGGCGACCGGTCGTGAGTGGTGTTTGCCAGGGGTCGGTGCTGGGCCTGTCCTCTTTAATATCTTGATTGATGACCTCGATGAGGGCATCGAGTGCACCCTCAGTACATTCGCAGATGACACCAAACTGGCTGGAAGTGTGGATCTGCCTGGGGGTAGCGAGGCCCTACAGAGGGATCTGGACAGGCTGGAGAGCTGGGCTGAAGCCCATGGGATGAGTTTCAACAAGGCCAAATGCCGGGTCCTGCGCTTCGGCCACAACAACCCCAGGCGACGCTGCAGGCTTGGGGCGGTGTGGCTGGAGGACGGCGTAGAGGAAATGGACCTGGGGGTATTGATTGATGCTCGGCTGAACATGAGCCCACAGTGTGCCCAGGTGGCCAGGAAGGCCAATGGCATCCTGGCTGGCATCAGAAACAGCGTTGCAAGCAGGAGCAGAGAGGTGATTGTTCCCCTGTATTCAGCACTGGTGAGGCCACACCTCGAGTGCTGTGTCCAGTTTTGGGCCCCTCACTGCAAGAAAGATATTGAGGCCCTGGAACGTGTTCAAAGGAGGGCGACAAAGCTGGTGAGGGGTCTGGAACACAGGGCTGATGAGGAGAGGCTGAAGGAGCTGGGAATGTTCAGCCTGGAGAAGAGGAGGCTCAGGGGAGACCTCATTGCTCTCTATAACTTCCTGAAGGGAGGCTGTAGTGAGCTGGGGGTCGGCCTCTTCTCTCGTGTCATCAGTGATAGGAGCAGGGGGAATGGCTTCAAGCTACGGCAGGGGAGATTCAGGCTGGACATGAGGAAGTGTTACTGCTCAGAAAGGGTGGTCAGGCACTGGAATGGATGCCCAGGGAGGTGGTGGAGTCACCGAGCCTGGGGGTGTTCAAGGAAAGGCTGCATGTTGTGTTGAGGGACGTGGTTTAGTGGGAGCTATTGGGAATAGGTGAACGGTTGGACTGGGTGATCTTGTAGGTCTTTTCCAACCTTGGTGATTCTATGATTCTATGAAAACCCCAGATTTAACAGGAAAAACAGGGATTTCTGGCAGAAAAAGCCATGTTTACGGGGAAAAAAACCCAGATTGAAGGCGAAAACCAGGGATTATGGCAGAAAAAGCTGTATTTAACAGGAATAACAGGGATTTCTGGCAGAAAAAGCCATATTTAAGGGAAAAATCCCAGATTTAAGGGGAAAGAAACAGGGATTTCTGTTAGCACATGGCGCCGGCGGCACCCGAGGGGAATCCGGCAGCGGCCCCCCCGGCTGCCCCTCCCCCTCCTCCAGGCCCCGGGCCGCCCTCAGCAACGGGACGCCGCAGGCGGTTGGTAGGGCCGGGGCAGGAAGTGCTTCGTGCCGGCGGAGAGCACTTCCGGGGCAGCGCGGCATGGCGGCGCCGGGCCGGTGAGCGGGGCCGGGAGGAGCGGGCTGTGTGCTGGGAACGGGGTCGGGGCTCGGTGCGGGGGCATGGAGGGGCGCTCGGGGGAGGAGCCGGCGGTGCTGCCGGCACGCGGAGGCGATGCGTGCGGCGCCGGCGAGTGGTGCGGGGTCGGGGGGCGGCTTCCTCTCAGGGAAGGCCGTGCGAGAGCGGAGCTGTGTTGGTGTTTGGGGCGTGCGAAGGAGGAGGCCCCGTAGGGCCGAGTTGTCGGCAGCAAAGGCCGGGCGGGCGGGCAGTGGAGCAAGGCGCGTGGGCGCTGTGTTGGCCGGAGGGTGCGGAGCTGGCAGAAGGTCTGTGAAGATGTGCTTCCTGTGGACGTCCGTTGTCGGGACGAGCCGGGGCTGCAGTTGTGTGTGATTGTGTTTGTTGCCTGGGAGAAGTGCTGCCTTAGGAGAGCGGGGGGGAGGGAGAGGGAGATTTTCGGACTGCCATCAGTCAGGAGCACGGCACGTTTCTGCCTGCTTTGCTCGTGCTGTTGTGTGGGTCCCCGCGAGGCATCGGTGAGCCAGGGTGGCGCCGTGTGTGTGTGCCGGCATTGTGCGCGGCTGTGGAATGGAGTGAGAGTGATTGTAATGAAAATGCAGCTGGCCGTATTGATGGTAGGGAATGGTTGAATCCCCAGCCGTGAGGCGCAAGAAGAGGCGCTGGGTGCTAAGGTGGAAAGCGGAGCTGGTGTGTGCCAGGAGGCAGGCGTGGTGAGGTGCGCTGTGGAGCCTGCTGTTGTTGGCGCTGGGCTCGGGAGGCCCCTGAACATGGCGCTGTGTGCTGCGTGTGCCAGCCACAAGAGATTCCGGTGTGGAAGAAGGGAGAGGATGAAGGAGGCCGAGGGCCCTTTTCTCGGGGCCGGCTCCTCTGTGGCCTCTTGCTTGCCGGAGAGAAGGGCTGCCCGCTGGGCACGGGGAGTGCCTTCTAGCTGCCGTCCCGTGCCCTGTCCTCCAGCCCCCTCCTCATGCTCTGTGGAACGCCATTGCCAGCAGTGCGGCTGCCATTTTAGAACCTTCGCCGCATCACAGCCGTCACCTTGGTCACCGCTGCCCCGGCCAACGCACTCGCCTCTGTGAGCTCTGTCAGCCATGGCTGGAGTGAAGAGGGCGAGGGGCACAATTTGCCCTGTTTTAAATGGGAAGAGGGAGCTTGGCTTCCCAGAGGCGAAGAGGAGGAGGGGGGCCGCCTTGAAGATCAAGCGGAGGAGGGGGCAGCGATTCCGTTTCCATCGCGCCTGGGCCAGCGCTGCGACCACCTCCGTGGAGCCCATGGAGGTGGATCCACCTCTGGATGAGCCCATGGAGGTGGATCCACCTCCGGATGAGCCCATGGAGGTGGATCCGCCTGCGGCACAGCTGGCCTGGCACCACACCACCGTGCCAGGCCCCGCATCGGCGCCGTCCCTCCACGGCCGCTGGTCCAGGCGCTCGGCTCCCTACCCGCTGCGCGGCCCCCGCCCCCAGCATTAGCTGGGTGGCATGAGTTTCCATCAGCTCCTCCTCCGAGCCTCCTGGGGAGCCAAGATCTCCTCTTCCCATTTAAATGCTGCAGGAGTTATGGTTTAGTTGTTGTTGTTGTTGTTGTTGTTGATTTTAGTGTTAGTGTTAGGAGTAGATTATTGTTCGTATTTTAGAGTTAGGCATAGGTTACTTTTAGTATTTTAGTGTTAGGCATAGGTTCCTGTTCTTATGTTAGAGTTAGGCATAGGTTACTTGTAGTCTTTTAGTGTTAGGCATAGGTTCCTGTTCATACTTGACAGTTAGGGGTCGATTGCTGGTGTCAGGTGGCAGTGAGCAGCGCTCACTCGGTAAGCACACGCCTGATTGCTGGTGCGAAGACATGAGTGCGAGTGCCGTGAGCACGGAGGCGCGATGGCATCTTGGATGGCTTGAATTTCCAGCTTGTGACTTTTGTGTTGCAGACCGTCAAGGAGCAGAGTGTGAGTGGCTGCGCCATTGCGTTGGGCCTCAGGAGAACAGTGTGTGACTGTGTGTGGAGCGTCCTGCGTGGCCGTTGCCAGGTAGGTGTGCCTTCCTTTGCAGTAAGCAGTGCTTAGGCGTGAGCCCAGCTGCTCCCCCTGTGCTCAGCAGGTGGGCTTTCTGCGTGCTTTGTTGCTGTGCTTGGTGCCGTACGGCACAGCAGCAGCAAGGCCGTGAACACGGACGTGCCCAGGTAGATGCAGATGTGCAGCTGATGGTAGGAATACTGTTGTTGGTGGTGTTCATGAGACAGTGGTCGTGCGTGTGCGATCAAGCTCAGGGAGAAGTTGATTCTTGCCTGCTCAGCTCTTGCTGACATGCAAGTTTGGCGTCCCTCCTTGTGGTCGGGTCGGAAGACCAAGGCTGTCTTGAGAGCACGTCTGTGAGTCAGGCTGGGAGTTTTTGCTGGCAGGAAGTCGCACCGTCGGAGCGCACGAATGGAATGATGGCTCTCGTTTCCCCCTTGCAGAAAGCAGCCTCCTGGAGAGCAGCAGAGCAGCAGGCTGTCTGCGCTATGGCCGCTGAAGTGCATTTCTCGGCCCCGGAGATCCCTGAGCCCACGCTGATGGAGAACGTGCTGCGCTGCGGCCTCTTCTTTGGAGCCGTTTTGCAGCTTGTGTGCGTGTGGGCCATAACCCTGCCACTTGCCAAGTGCCCAGAGACAGTAAGTAGCGCTCTGTTTGGTAGAGGTTGATAGAAATGCTGAGGAAATGGGCTGGGAGGGAAGCAGCTGGAGCCGTTGCCTACGGTAGCGCGCCGCGGCATTGCTGAGAGTGCGGCAGTGTGTTGTGCCCTTCCTTGGGCGTGCGTGCTGTTCCTGGTGGCACGCAAGGAGCCTGGAGGTGCAAGCTCACCTGCTGCTGCTGCTGCTGTGCTGTGCGTGCTGCCAGGCAGTGTCCAAGCCGTGTGCAGGCGCTGCCTTGCAGGAGATGGCTTTGGGTTCCAGTTCGTGTGGGACTTTGGGGAGGGAGATAGAGGTGGAGTTTCTGGCGTGCCCTGATGGCAGGAAGGCGGTTTCCAGTGCTGGCAGCCACAGCTGCCCGGGCGGTGACTTGAGCTCCCCACGCGAGCTGTCAGCCACTTGTTAGCTGTGCATGTTCCCTGACCGTTTGTGCCTTGATTCTTGTAGGACTGGCACAGTCTTGGGACTCGGTCTGGCGAGCCAGTGAAGAAAGCCAAGGCAAGTGCTGCTCTGCTGAGGAAGAAAGCCCAGAAGGAGAGCAGAAAGAACCGAGCAGGGCTTGAGCGAGAAGGCCCACAGGACACTGGGATCAGCTGCAATGCTTCCTCGGAGGTGGCACCAAAGGCAGCGCACTGAGTCAGCGTCCGGTTTTGTGGCACGGCCGTGCTTTCCCTGTGACGGACAGTGCAGCGGAGCTGAGGCACCTGGAAGGGAAGGGCTTGTGCTGCATTCCAAGCAAGGAGGGCTTGCCAGAGGCAGGTCTTCATCTATGGCAAGAGATGGAGAGGCTGTGTTCCTTCAGGCTGCGTCTCTTCAGGGCCAGGGCCGGTCTAGTGTGAGATTGAAGTACGGCTAGCCGGGCCTGGAGGGAGAGGAGCTGACGTAGCCACAGGGTCAGGCTTCTCCTTGTGTCTGCCTGGAGGCTGATTGACTCCTTGCTAAGCAGAAACCCTGGGCGCTGGGGTTTCATTTTGGGCTGTGTTGATAGAAATACAAGCCAGAGCCTTTTGTATTGAATAAAAGCGAAACCAACTTTTTCCACACGGTGCTGCCTCTTTCTGTAGCTGGTCAAAAGGTGCCGTGCTTGGGCTGGCAGTCGCGGGGCCATGAACCGGTCGGCTCTGCCCTGAAATTCTGCTGGTTTTCCCCCGTTTCCTTGTGGGTCTTCCCAACGGGTGGCCTTTCAGCCCCCCTGTAGCTGCTGGCCACAGGCTGTGAGCACTGTGTGTCAGGGCCTGGGGATGGATGGGATGGAGGGCGCCATCCCTGCCCCGTACCAGGGGACCACTGCCACCCGCAGAGCTTCCCTCATGCTTTGGACAGCTGTGCAGAGGAGGAGGGTCTCGAGGTGTCCTAGGCATGTGATCAGCTCTGACATCCTCCAGTGATCAATGAAGCCCTCAGCAGAGCCACGCTCTGTGTGTCTGCGTCCCCATGCTCAGCAGGGGCTGTTCGTGTCTGCTCCTGCCTGGCAGAGGCCACCTCTAAGTGCTGGGAGGGGTCCCCAGCTCCATACCACGCACCCCACGTGCTGCACCCATGGGCCTCTCCAACCCCTCTGTGCTGCCTGCTCCAAAAAGGACAGAGCTCCCCGTGCTGCCAAGCAGCCCCAGTACCCTCCCTCTGCTCTCTCCCACTTCCTCCTTCCAGTTCCTCCCAAACCCTTCACCCTTTCTTCCACCTTCTCTACGGCCTCCTTTTACCCCCTCTCTTATCGCAGCCAATTGCCCCTCACTTGGATGTGCTTCAGCCCTTCAGTCCCACCTCCCCTCCATCACTACCTACCCAACAAGGAATCCCCAGATCCCTCCCTCGGGCTCCTCAGATCTCCTCTCTGATGACCGATGACACCCTCTGCTGATTAGCAAAGCCCTCTGACCTCAGTGAAGATCCCTGATGATCAGTGGAGCCCTCTGACAGCCAACGAAGCCTTCAGACGACCGCTGACACTCCCTGATGGCAAACTGAGCCCCCGATGATCAGCGGGCTGCTGTATCACATGCAGGAAAGGGAAGTGAAGGGTGAGAAAGAATATTTTGACACCATTTGGTAGACAGCGTGGTTTGCTCGTCATAGAATAAAGATTGGTTTGGATTTAATCAAGCACCGAAGTTGCAGAGAAGTGTGACTGCACCAGCCCTGTGTGTGCTGCCCGCTGCCTGGCACCGGCTGCCTGATTCCAAGCCCTCCTCCAAAGGCTCGGCTGCTCCTCAGCGATGCCCACCTGCTCCTCGTGGAGCTGCTGCTGGCCGGGCACTCGGACTGCGCTTGGCTGGGCTGCACTGCAAAGACACTGGGTCCCAATCCAGGCCGGGGACTGCGATGGCTGCTGGGCTCAGGTCAGCATCTTCAGCAGAGCCAGGAGAAATGAGGGCCGGAGGGTGGATCAGCTCCTTATCCCCATCACTGCTGTCCTGTGCAAGGCAGCCATCAGACCTGCAGCGATTCGTGCTTCTGAGAGCTCGGCACTGAAGGAAGCTCTCAGTGCACCACCACTGGGCCTGGGTCGAAACCACTGAGATTCACCTAGGAATGAGCAGAGACACGGGGTGAGTGTCAAGTGTGCAAGCAGGCCACGCCACTGGGCTGATGACCAGCAGCTCGGTAGCACTTGCAGTCCTGTACCTCCAACCACGTCCTTGCCCCAGATCGGGGGGTGGACAGTCCATTCCTGGGCGGCCCACTGTGCAATGCAAAGAGGGAGCCCCCGGCACACAGCCCAACCACCTGTGCAGACGTTCCGGATGCCACCACTGGCTGCCTTGCTCATAACCATCCACACGGCTCGCAGTTCTGCCCGTTGCCTGCTCTGACCATCCCCTCATTGAACCGCATCGTCTCGCTGGAAGGATGCTACGCTGCTGCTCTCCACTTGCTCGGGTTGCCCTTGCTGGACCCATCTGTGCACCAGGCATCTTCAGGGATCGCATATTTTCCCTCCTGAACGGGACTCTGCTCTGGGGGAGCGACCAGTGCTTCTTTTGTGCATCACTCCCTGAAGCTCTGGAGACAAAAGTCAGCTGAAAGACTAGAACAACACAGAGCAGGAGGGGGAAGTGCGAGTGCTCGCCCAGAGACAGAAAAAAGGTTGATTCAAGTATTACAGGATGACAACATGCATTGCAAATTCCCCAGTGAAGTGAAAATCTGCAGTCAGTGCAGGAAGCCTGAGGTTTCAGCATTCACAACAGAAGCCAGCTAACAGAAGCACTGTGGGAGCTGTACCTGCCTGTGCCCCTTCTCCCACGAAGCCCAACAGCAAACATTTGTGCTCAGCTGCTACTTTAAAACACCACAGTCCCTGTTCCAACAGCCCTCCTGCTGCCTCTTCCATCAGAGCTGTGCCTGCAGAGCCCAGACAAGGCCGGGCTGCTCTGCCTTATCCAGAATAACAAAACCGGGCAACGGCAGGAAGAGAAGAAGTTTGCACCTGCAGCACCCTGCCTGTTTATCTCTTCTGCTGCTTGGTGCACTGCCAATACATGACCAGCACCACCACTCCAATTTTTCTTTCTGAATTAGCAATAAGGCAACTAAGTGGGAACCAAAGGCATCTGGGTGTGATGCCAGTCAGCTCCTGCAAAAAGCAGCTCACCTCATACTTGGGGCCAAGGGAGAACGAGGAACACCCCGACCTGTTCCTGATCACAGTGCAAGCGTGAGCCCTTTTCAGACTGGAACCCTTTGGGCATTCCCTCTTTAAAAACAACAGCAACAACAGCATCACTGGAAGCTCATTGCAGTCCACAGACCAAATCACCAGAACAGAAACAATGGGAGATGGCAGAGGCCTGAAGTAGCTGCAAAAGGAGCACTAGAGCTTCAGTGGGGTTGGTTAGTTTGGTCTGTCATAGCAGTTAAGAAAGCAGGGAAGGGAGAGAGTTTTGTATTAACAAAGTTCAAAACCGACCTCAGAGCTCTGATTCCGGTGGCAGCTCTGAGCACCGTACCCAGCACCAGCCATCTGCCTGTGCCTTGCAGCACTTTGCTCCAGCACACAGGCCGTGCACCTACTGCATTTTCTCTGCTATCTCAGACAACACAGAACAGCATCATTTTAACCCCCAACTCCATCTTGGATGCAACCCCTGGTTGTGTGCATGGAGTCCAACTCCTCATAGTGTGCAGAGCAGGCAGTGCCCTGCATGATGCCACAGAGATCATCACTGTGACAACCCAACAGTAAACCAAAGCAATCGCTGCTTTTAGGGTTACCAACACTACAGAGAGAGGTGCTCACCACACTCAAATCCCAGGCTGGTTTTGGGCACGCGTTCCCATCTTTGTCTTTTCCCAGGGTGAGCTTAACTCCCACCTCACTACTTATAGCTGTGAGGGCAAATTTATGCCACCTCGTTTTACACATCCAGCAGTCAGTTGCCAAGACCCAGCTAGCACTGTCTAGGCTCCCTGTGAAGTTAATCCAAATAAATATGCATCTCCAAAGGGCAAATAATGCAGAGCTGTGGCTCCAGAGAGCAACTCCTACCAGGAGCTCTGCAAAACACTCTGCTCCCAGATCCAACCTATTGCTGCAGTGTCAGAGATGAGTCTGCACTCAGATGTTCCCTTCCCAAATCACACTGCACAGCTGTTTCTCTCCTGGTGCTGCCTTCATGCAGTGAAGTCACCTCTCCGAAGCTTCAGGCCTGCAGGCTCAAGCTTCCTCAAGCTGCCAGCTTAGGATTCCGTCCATCTTGGGTTCTACTGGTGAAACAGCAACAGTGGCCACTACAGGAGACGTGACAGAATTTAAAATTTAGAACATAATTACAAAGAAAACTACAACAGAACAGTCAGGTAATGGTGACCTAATTTCCTAAACTGTCTTTCTGCCAACCACAACTTCAGGGTTTCAGAGACCTTGCTGCCTTATCAGCTTGCCCTAAAAATGCCTTATCTGCAAACCAGAAATGAGCATCTCGCAGCTTTCAGACAAGCACCATCCAAAACAAAATGGAAGAATGCCACAAACTTGCATCCCCCCGAGTAAAAAGCCAGAAACTTTATTATTCATACCAAACTCTTATACACAAAAGCTCCTATGTCTTTTAAACTACCTTAGCTCTCAGTCCATCACAACAACAACGCATCACACAGACGGGCCATGCTCAGACCCCTACAATACAGACTTAACCTTCAGTGCACTGTGCTAGAAAAGCCTCTTTGATTCAGGTCACGAGAAGAGTGGTAACACTACAGCCAGAATGCTGAAAATCACCTGTGGAGAGGAAGTTTTGGACACAACACGTAAGAATGACATGCTGTGAAAATGCAGAAAGCTGCTTGCTTGAGCTGCACTGCTGCACTGAGGCAGAAGAGGTCAGTGAGCAAAGCTTCTGGAATTCCCTGAGGATGGCACTGCAGGGGGAGAAGGAACCTGGGGACGTTGTGCACTCAGTGCTGAGCAGCACTCGAGGGATTCTGCACCAGACAGCAGTTCAGGCGCAGGGCCTTGGAAGAAGATCTGAAGTGGAGCCTGTATAACAGAGTTCAGAGCCAGAGCCAAAGGGCACTGAAAGTGAAAACACCGCAGGGAAGCGTGAAACCAGATGAGCAGCAATCCAGAGACCACTTCAAATCCCTTAAAAATACACAGAGGGACTCATTTAATTACACATTGGACACAGCCAAGAGCAGCTTTGGTTTGCTCTTCTCTTCCCTGTTTCAGCTCGTTACATTTGCACATCATGTCACAGTTACAAAACAACAACAAAACCCACCAAAAAATGCAACTAAGCTGAACAAGGAGTGGATCAGTGAAGGAACAGAGCCATGGCAGCTGTGCTGCACCAGCCCACCCTGCACAGCCACAGTGTCAGCACTCAGCCACAACCCGCCGTGCTGCTCAGCAGAAGGGTTCAGCCCTACGTTACACTGCTCACAAGGGGGTTCTGCTGAAAGCCAAGGAAGCAGCAGAGGTGCAGGGAGGAAAAGCTCCTCCATCCTTAATATGGCTCACGACCAGATACGTGACTGAGAAATTGCACTGTGATACCCCAGAATCAGTAACAAGCAAAGCACGTGGTCATTCTTACAGG